CTCGGGACTGAAACGAGGGAACCTGGGCTTTTCCTGCATCTGTGCCCCACCAGTGCCCCTATTCACATGCTCGTGAAGGCCCGAGGCTAGAGGAGACCAAGCACACTAGATCTTTTGTTGTGCGAGCAAGCATTTCTGTCCAGTTCAGAGGGAGGATGGCATTTTTTACATCTCTTCCTGCAGTTTTGGCCCTGTGTCTGCTGACCACAGGTGAGTTCCTGTGTTTATCACCAACATGATCTGTTGACTGCCAAGGGCCACGGGGGCATGGGGGGGTAGGGGTGGGGAGACAAGTCGGGACTGCTCTCACATGCAAAGAACAGAGAGGGTGCTGGAATGCCAGGCTCATGGGGGAAGGCCTGGGACAGATGACCTCCTTGTGAAATCATTCCTTTTCCTCCGTCTCTAATTCAATTATCACGCTTTGCTTCTCTCATTCTCCAGGATGGAAAAATCTAGACTGCCTCTGCCATTGCTCCTCAACCCCCCTTCTACAACCCTTCCAGGCCTGCCTCCAATTTTAGGGCCTTCCTCTTTCAACACCCACCCTATGTAGGACAGATCCCAGCTAGATCTGGACATTCTCTTTGCCCAATAATTGGGGAACTTGAGGCATCTAGTTCCAATGCCCGATTTTGTCATGAGGCTGGTTCCCCAGCTGATAGCCAAAAGGTGTGGGTACATTCCTGGCAGGGACCCCCCCCCCCCCCAGACCCCACCACTACTCCCAGGATTTGAGAGAGAGGAGTAGGAATCGCCTACCAGAGAAAGGAAACAAAACCGTGTTGTTTGGATTCGTGTTCTGTTTGTTTTCATCTGGAATGCCATTCCCCATTACTCTCTTGTAATCTTCTAGAAAATTTCTAGAAGCCTACTGAGTCGTCCACTTCGTTACTGGCCAAAAGCGATGGAAACCCTGTCTTCCAGTTTGGGATTTCCATTTTCTTGCTGTTTGGCCAGGAAGGAGGAGAAAGCGTTCGATGGGTCTAAAAAGCAAATAGTACCTGAGGCCAGGCAAGCCTGGTGCCGTGGGCTGCACCAGAAGCCTGTGCTCCATTTCTTTTAGGGAACGGGAGCTTTATCATCAGTATTATTGATGAGACTCTGGCTTCCTTTCCAGAGATTAAGTATTTTTGTCATCATGTCTATTATTCTTCACAAGAACCCAATTAGGGAAGATTGCCTCAACAGAGGAGGCTGATTAAATTCACAGATTTATTGCAAAACCACTTTGGGACTTGAGGAAAATGAGTTTCACTGCTGAGCTTCCTTGCTTTAAAGAAAAAAAAAAAAGTCAAGCTGTAAGACTGCATCCTGGAGTATCCATCCATAACAGATCATAAAATACCCATAACATGCACACAGTTTATCTTTCTCCAGAGAGGCTCGAGATGCTTCTTCTAGGCTCATAGTACCTCCCCAAGGGGTAGGTGATGGCTTCTGTGTTCCTGGGACACAAGAGGGAATTCTGACCCAGAGCAGGATGAGGCAGACAGAGGCCAAAGGGAAGATTTTGCTTTGCAAATCTTACAGCCCATTGGCTCAGGCAGACCCTTGTGATATGGGTCCCAGAAAAGTTGCTGTAAGTAGGAATGATGTAAACGAAATCTGATTTTTCCACAGAAACGAGGACAGCATTGAGGATTCCTGGCCCCAAACCCAATGCCCAAAATATTAATGAAACAACCACAAGCATTATTTTAAAACTTGTAACTTGCTAGTGAGGATATCCAAGACAAAACCCATACTCCCACCACAAAAATCTCAGGTTTTGTTTATTTAAGGCAGCCTTTCCCCAATTGTTTTCTGTAGAACATTAACCTCAGAGGATGCCCTGGAAGGAAAGGTTTGTGGTGATAAAATTGGGGCATTGCTGCCTATTGGGTGCTCCTTGATTGGCAATCCTTATTAACACAATCAAACTAATAGCTAAGTCTTACTCAAAGTCTGCCTGAGCCAAGCACCTGATGTATTTTAACTCACCCAGCCTGAGGTAGATACTGATTTACTCCATTTTGCACACGAGGCAAGGGCAGCATGGAACAGTTAAATGGGTTGCCTGGTTAAAAGGTTCAAGGTCCAGCCAGGTTTTAAATCTGTACTCATCCTGAAACGCATGCTCTGAACCTCTAAGCTTCATCATGTCCTCACTGTGTAGCTACCTGGTCACACGGCTGTGTCTGGGTTTTTTTGTTTTTGTTTTTGTTTTCCATTATTACCTCTTTATACAATTGAGTCCATCCCTAACTGTCACGGTGGGCCATCTTTTGTTGGTATCCTTAATGTGTATGTGTGTCTTCACACAGAGCCAGGCTGGGATCATCGTAGGTGATACCGTCCCCTCACATCAGCTGTCATGCTTCCATCTCACATGGCCTTGGTATAAGTGCTTGAAGCATGCTTTAGTGGATTTTCATCAGTATCTCTGACAGTTTATAGATAAACAAAGATGTAAGGGAGACAGGATGTGTCTGAGTTTATTTACCCTGTCTTTGGCAAAAGAGTCTTTGTCTACAACATGAAAGTGAGTAAAAAGCAAAAGTGGGATAAAAAATGACACCCAGGGTATAATGTTAGCCCTTGTGTTTGTGGGATTGGGATTTCTTGCACCACTGGCATCTAAGTAACTATGAGCTGATGGTGTATTTTATCGGAGTGATGTCAGGGGAAGGGTGAGGAGGAGAGACAGAATATTCTGTACCATCAGTTTCACCCTGAAGAAATCCTTCATTAAATTTAGGAACCGGGTTGTCTGCTAATCATTTTACCAAAGGGTGTTTGCTCAGAAAATGGACTTTTCAAGGGTGGGGAAGAGAAGAATGTGAATTATCAGTAGCGGACCATCCCAGCAGTGGCAGAGTCAAGAGGTACGAGAAGTGGTGTGGTGGGTTGTGTCTGGTTGCACAGGGTACCTAATATCCGCTATCATTCTTGACCCTAATTAAGTCTGCTGCCTTCTATAAATGCCTGTGTTCTCTGAGAGCCTACACGTGAAAGGACTTGCCCTTCCTTTGCCCCCTTGATCAGTCAGAAATAATTTAATGAGAACCTATGCTATACTCAATGTTTCCTTTACACACAGGCCTGTTCCCTGATGTGGTCTGGTTGAGGCTCAAGGACGTTTTTTGTTGCTGAAACTGTGCTCCATGCTTTCCATGGATTATCTCCTATATCCACACCAGCCTTAATAGAACCCTCTATGAGCTGTGGGTTATGGAAGAGTAAACTGAGGCTAGAAGAGGAGAAATGGCTTGTTGAAAGACATACAGCAGGAAGGGACAGAGCCAGGAAATTAACTGTGCAACTGTGAATTTGAAAGCCTATACCGTTTACGGCTATCAGATGCCGGATAAGCGAGTGGGGACTCCTTCACCACTGTCTGCATGGACTAGATGTTTAGGAAATATAAAGAGAAAAAGAAAATGCTTGATTTGTGTCTTAAAAATCAGTATTATTACTAATTGGGTACGTGGGACCTCTGATGTTGCTGGAACTAAAAAAAAAAAAAAATTAGGAGATCATTTATTTTAGGGAAAACACTAACTATATGGATAAAATTCTTCTGGGTAAAAAAATGCAAAGAACACTGGTGTTGCCAGCAGCCAAAACAGACCACCTCTATTGTGGCTGTGATTGAGATATTAGAATTTGCTCTTTCTTCAGCTCTATAGAAGGTGCTTGAAACCATCCGGAAATGGAATTTAATTCTCTCACATAATGCATGCCGTAAGCCCACTTTTTAAAATTTAGGTGATGACCAGTAATCTCATGAATGTGAAAATGCCAGTGGGGGTGGGGCAACCATTCTGGTCTCAAACGAGCTATTTTTTTTTTAAGATTTTATTTATTTATTTGACAGAGAGGGAGATCCCAAGTAGGCAGAGAGAGAGAGAGAGAGGGAAGCAGGCTCCCTGCTGAGCAGAGAGCCTGATGCGGGGCTCGATCCCAGGACCCTGAGATTATGACCTGAGCTGAAAGCAGAGGTTTAACCCACTGAGCCACCCAGGCGCCCCTCAAACGAGCTTTAAATATTAAGCAGAAGCTCTTCAGCAGTAAAAAGAAATGAGCTACCCGCTCACAAGAAGACTTGGGGGAGCCTTCAATGCATATTGCTAAGGAAAGACACCAATCTGAAAAGGAAACTATGTATACTGTATGAGTCCCACTGTAGGGCATTCTGGAAACAGTAAACCTATGGAGATAGTAAAAGGATTAATGGTTGCCCCGGTTGCCAGGAGAGAGGGATACATCGGCTGAGCACAGAGGATTTTTAGGGCAAGGAAGCCATTGTGTGTGACACTATAATGGTGGATACATGTCACTGGACATTTGTGACAACTCCTAGATGGTGCCATACAAAGAGTAACGTAATATAAACTCTGGATTTCAGTTAATAACAATGTATTCATACAGGTTCATCAGTGACAACAAATGGACCACACTAATGCAAGATGTTAATAATGGGGGAAACTGCAGAAGAGGGCAAAGTGAAGAAGTAGATGGGAACTCCATACTTTCTGTTCAACTTCTCTATAAACCTAAAACTGTTCCAAAAAAAAAGAAGTAATAGACTTTTTTTTTTTAAAGCAAGAAGAGAATCACACTGGTTTTCATCATCCTAGCATCTCCATAGATGATAGTGCCCTTGTAGGAAAAAAAAAAATTGATAATCCTCTCAGTGCATAATACTAACTCAGTGCTCAGGTTGTGACAACCAAGGAATATACGAAAGGTCAGTTTAAACGTCTCAGTGGGTTGGAAAGACAAAGCAGACTTTGTGCCACAATAGAACTCATCCCATGGAACCATGGAGATGGCAGGAGATAAAACAATACTCTTTATCGCCAGCTGATTAACTAGCAAGGACATGTTCTTTCTATTTATCCTATAGGCTCCTAAGGACAATGGGCCTTTTGTCCTTACACCTGTTGAAAGGGGAAGGAGCCCCTAACAGAGACCTAGTGGGGTTTACGTGAGGCCATGCAGTTTGGATTTCTTACCTTCGTCTCTGATGGTACATCCCGTTTCATAATATGCCTTCTAGCAGGGGAACTTGGAGACGGAGCCTTCAGCATTCAAAGGGAAAAAGCAGGTCCGAGTTTTATTTGAGAAGAATAATGGAATATAGAAATCCATGGAGGAGGGCAGGATAACAAAGTAGTGGCATGTTCTGGCTCTCAGCCAGACACCAGACACGAGTTCCGGGAGGGTCCCGCTCCTTCCCTCTCCTCAGCTTCTAGCACCAGGCACAGGGTCAAGGCACAACAGAGGTGAAGACTGCTGGATCAACGAACCTCCAGGACTTTGCTAGGGAAAAGGAAACAGCAAAATAATTCATCAAGATTGACAGCTGATTTTTCCAGCTGTTTCACGAAGTTTCCAGATAAACATGTCTGTGAGCACATGTGTGCTGATAAATTTTTTCATTCTAAATTCTTGCTTGTAATGGGATCTGTTGGTTTTACTGCCTTCTTGGCGGTAGGGGGGAACACTCCAATTTTCTTTGGGGCAACCAAACTTCCTCTTAATTTTGGTGTGTGAAGTTTGATTTTAATACTTCATTTTGGCTCGAAGGGATGGTCTGAGGCCTGAGCCCAGCCAGTTAGCGTTATTTCCTCTTGGCCTCGGTGAAATTCAGAGAAAGATGTATAACTCAAGCTGAACCCATGAGAATCCTACCTGGAATTTTGCTGCTTGATTTGGAAAGAAGTATTGTTTTGTTTTTGTTTTCTTTCGGTTTGGTTTTTTGCTATACTTGAGAAATGGATAAAATGCAAGTCTAGAGTTGCTAGTCAACTTCTTAGCCACCACTTGGGAAAAATATTCTTGGAAAGAAAAGCCAAAATAGAAGAGAACTGAACTGAAAGATAGAGAAAGAAGAAGTCCTGGTAAAAATATTTGAGCAACTTGAACCAGCCAAGCCTAAACTCAACCCATTTCCTGGACCCTTCAATGAGATGGGCCACTAAATTCCCAGGATTTCAACCACCTTATAACCAATTCTATAGATAGATAGATGATAGATAGATAGATAATCTCCAAATATATGACCACTGAATTCATTTTTCATACTTAATGAAAAGTTCTGAGCCACTTCCATTCATATGTCCATATCCTTCATATTAAAATCTATTAGGAAAATTCTAACTGGGATGTGTTCTGTCCAGAGCCACCCCACATCTTTGAGGCTCTTCACCCCTCCAGATGGACAAGGATAACATCTGAAATGAAGAGACCTTGAATTTCTATTTCCGAATTCCAACAAAAGGCAGAATTCTCCTTTGTTGAACATCTCACTTCACCACAAATTTTAAACCTTTTTGTGGCTTAGGAAAAGTTGGCACGTGGCAGAGCCCTGCTGAACAGATTGAGACATCAGAGAATGGGCCCTTGGCCATGCCTGGCACACGTTCTGAAGACATGGCCCCATGCCACCTTCCCCCTCACATTCAATGTGCCATTAACATAGGAGTGGGCTCAAGAGCTAGGGCAACTTGGACTTGAAACATAACCTTGAAATTCATGGATGGATTTGAGGGATGAAAAAGAAGGCTCTGTAGCTCTTCAGCTGACTCTAGCCATTAGAATAGGAACTCAAAGCAATTGAGTAAGCTGTGGCACACATAGTGCTAAAGACTCTTCTTGCATTATCCCTTTGAACCCTCATCACAACCCTATGTTGTAGATCCTATTGTAATCCTCATTTTAACAGTCGAAGAAATTTGACCTAGGAAACTTAGTGAACCTTCCCTGGATCACTGAGCAGGATTCAGACCTAAGTAGTAGGCAGGCTCTCCATCACAGCACAACGTTGTTTGCTAAGAATGAAAAGAGCACCTGGATCATGGCTATAGAATGGTGGCAATGACTGTGATGATGGAAGGAGGCTTAAGCATCATTTAGCCTGATGGAAAACCTGAGGCTGAGGGAGATAAGTGACTTCCCCAAAGTCACATAGCAAAGATAAAGAACCAGACACTGAAATCTAGCCTTGAAGCCCCAGTTCTTTTTCACTGCATGCCTTGTTATTTGCAGATACGTATACAATGCCACACACATCAAGTTAATCAACATGCACTGCTATTATAGATACATGAGTTATTCTAAAATATGTGCATAGTACTCGGCAAATGACAACCATCCTGAGATTATCTGTATCTTTGCTTAGGACTCCTGGATCGCCCCACAACTCTCCACAACAAGAAATTAAAGGACTGTCCCCTGTGGCCAATTTCCAATCTGATTAGTTGATCCCTTCCCTCAGTTAAATATTTTTAGTAGGAACCCTCCTTAACACAAAAGCCTGCACACCTACTCTTCTCCCTCCAGATAATGGGAATTTAATGAATGGATTGCCAGCTGCATCTCAGTCATTTGGGATAACAATGTTGTCTCAAGTATAAGAGGTAGATGAAAGCTAATCAGGTCAACTGTACACAGGACAGCAGAGGAGAAAGTTCTGCCCCAGCATTCAGGGACTCTGAGGAGGTCTTGCCATTCTCCTTCCAGGTGTGGGTTAAAATGTTCTCTCCCTACAGAGAGGAAGTTCAGAGCATCTGAATCGTCAGAGGCAAGAAGGGTCTTGCCCCCACCTCTCTCACCTTTCTTCTTTCCTTCTAGAATGGCAGAGCCATTCCTCAAGTCATGAGAACCCTACGGACAACAAGTGGAAACACAAGGAAAGCTTGCCTGCTGCAGAGACAGCTACCCCAGTGCCTTTTGAAGACAATGGCAGGTAAGCCATTCTTTTCTGACTCTTCTCAGCTGCAGAAATGGAGAAACAAATTGCTAGTGGAAGGGAAACCCTGATGCATGGAATATCCAGCATGAGTCAACCAACCCTGTGCTACTAGCCCATCTGAAAACCATCTACACAGTGACCTATCTTCATAAGATGAGGGTTTGCAGAGAATTGACTCAAGCTATTTGAATATCTGTTCTCCTGTTATGCCTCACCAGGATTTACATATCACCAAAGAATCCTTAATTATGAATTATTAGGTATATTCATCAAGAACATTCTTTTATGGACCAGAAGTCTGTTTCATGGTATGAGGTCTGAAGTAAGAGATGAACCCTGGTCAAAAGCAAATATAGGAAAGGCCTGAAAATGCCTTAGCCCCCTTTCCTTCACCTTATTGACTGGATGTTGGCTTACTTATTCCAGGCCTCTCCTCTGGACTACATTAGCATTCCACAGCACTTTATGATTTCCTTTTTGTAGCAGTTATTGCATTTATAATTATTTTCTTAAAGCTTGGGTTCCCTTCTAAGCCCTAATAACAATGAGAAATTAGTGTGCATTACTCTTACTAACATTTCCCCAATGCGTAGAAGGGTGTGTTGTTCAACAGTGGATATTCACTGATGGAAGAACATTGCACAACGTTGACATGAAACCCTAGCTATTTACGGAGTGGGCCCTTTAACCCTCATTTGAATATATGGGAAAGGCACTTAAAAAGACCTAAAGTCATCCATGAATACGTCAACTTCTTTAGCTTCACCAACTCACAAAACACTTTCCAGTTCATCTTCGCTTCCTGTTTATTTAAGTGCGTTCTCTCCTACACTGTGATTTAAGGAAACTTCCATTCCATGTTATTGCAATTGGTGCATAACTGAATTTTTCTCAGACTACAGTCCACAGACCAATAAGAGTTGGCTTCCTGTTCTTTGGGGTTCTGTGAATTCCTTATGAGATTTGTAAAGAGATGTAAGCATATGCTGATTCATGCAGGTGAACATTGAAAACTGAATGGGAGGGGGCACCTGGGTGGCTCAGTGGTTAAAGCCTCTGCCTTCAGCTCAGGTCATGATCTCAGGGTCCTGGGATGGAGCCCCACATCGGGCTCTCTGCTCAGCAGGGAGCCTGCTCCCCCCGCCCTTCTCTGCCTGCCTCTCTGCCTACTTGTGATCTCTCTCTGTCAAATAAATAAAATCTTCCCTGATGCCGAGTGATGTGGAGCACTTTTTCATGTGTCTGTTGGCCATCTGGATGTCTTCTTTGCAGAAATGTCTGTTCATGTCAGGGAAATACAAATCAAAAACCACAATGAGATACCACCTCACACCAGTCAGAATGGCTAAAATTAACAAGTCAGGAAATGACAGATGCTGGCGAGGATGCAGAGAAAGGGGAACCCTCCTACACTGTTGGTGGGAATGCAAGCTGGTGCAGCCACTCTGGAAAACAGCATGGAGGTTCCTCAAAATATTGAAAATAGAACTACTCTACGACCCAGCAATTGCACTACTGGGTATTTACCCTAAAGATACAAATGTAGTGATCCGAAGGGGCACGTGCACCTGAATGTTTATAGCAGCAATGTCCACAATAGCCAAACTATGGAAAGAACCTAGATGTCCATCAACAGACGAATGGATAAAGAAGATGTGGTATATATACACAATGGAATACTATGCAGCCATCAAAAGAAATGAAATCTTGCCATTTGCGACGACGTGGATGGAACTAGAAGGTATCATGCTTAGCGAAATAAGTCAATCGGAGAAAGACAACTATCATATGATCTCCCTGATATGAGGGAGAGGAGATGCAACATGGGGGGTTAAGGGGGTAGGAGAAGAGTAAATGAAACAAGATGGGATTGGGAGGGAGACAAACCATAAGTGACTCTTAATCTCACAAAACAAACTGAGGGTTGATGGTGGGAGGGGGTTGGGGGTGGGGTGGGGTTATGGACATTGGGGAGGGTATGTGCTATGGTGAGTGCTGTGAAGTGTGTAAACCTGGTGATTCACAGACCTGTACCCCTGGGGATAAAAATATATGTTTATAAAAAAATAAAATAAATAAATAAATAAATAAATAAATAAAATCTTAAAAAAAAAAAACCAAAAAACTGAATGGGGCCATATGATTTCAATATCTGCAGGCTTTAAAATATATTTTAAATTCTCTAATACCCCTCCCTTCAGCAAATGGAGTCTCAATTTCCCTTCCCTTAAAATACAGGCAGGAGTTAGTGACTTGCTTCTAGTGAATGATGTGAGACACAGTTCCCTTACATGACTTCAGGGACTAAATGAGAAAAGGTGATACGGTGTCTGCCTGGCTCTGTCTTGGGGCATGCGTATGGGAGGCTCATATAAGAAATCTGGCTTTTGTGACACTGCCACCCTGTAGTGACCAAATGGAGAGACTTTCTAGAGACAGCTAGTGAATCCCCAACTATTCAAGTCCTCCTAGTCCCACTAGCAGCCAGGTGAGTGACAAAGACTTGGAGAGGACCCCAGCCTCAGCCACCAGCTGACTATGACCTCATGACAGGCCCCGAGCCAGA